TGGAGTCAAATTAAGATAAAGGGCTCTGGCCAGTGTGTTAATGCACTCGTCACCTACACGTCCTCCTTGGGCATTCCACTTCTCTACGTCTTGGCTCTCTTACGTAAAACTAAGATAGAAAGAGCAACCACTTAATGAGAAAGTTGAGAAATTCTGAAAGCATAGCATGGCGGGCCATATATATTAACTAAAACATGCTATTAATTAATTCACCCTTTCAAAAAATATTAAGGCCACATTATAGTATCCTAGTATAGTAATACGCTACAGAGGCACTTTGGGTCATAAAACACAGGTGGGATAGTTTGTCCTTCAGGAGACACTAGATGTACTGTACTTGGAAAATTTTCTCTAACAACACAAGGCAATGTACTTTATATGTCACAATGAAGGACACAATTAGTGCTATGAAAGACCAGGAAAGTCCTCCTCTTACTGTGTGTGTAAGTGTACGTGAGTACACACGCACGTCACTTATTATCTATTCCACAGAGTGATGGACGTAACACCCTGGCCTTATCCCAATTGTAACAATGTGGTCACTTGCTCGGTTACTCATTTAATGTCTATTCCTCTTGGAGAATGCAAACTCCTGAAAACAGAGGGCATTTTTTAATCCCCTTGTTTTGACTCCATGTTAACAAAAAAATGATTTCAATCAGAATTACACCAATATCAATTTTGCTCAAGATAGTGAAGTGGGTTTTTTGTTTTGCTTTTTGTTTTTAGTATGTACTTATTTTTGAGAAAGAGATAGTATGTGCAAGCAGAGGAGGGGCAGAGAGAGCCAGAGACGAAACAGTGAATCTGAAGCAGGCCCCATGCTGTCAGCCCAACACCCAAAGCGGGGCTCAAACCCACAAACTATGAGACCATAACCTGAGCCAAAGTTGGAAGCTCAACTAACTTGAGTCACCCAGGCCCACCACTCAAGATATTTGAGGTAATGCTGTTCAAGCCAACTTAATTCCTTGAGTCCTTGTTTACACACTACAAACCATTTCTTCTTAAAAATTCTTTTTATTTTTACTTTTCTGAAAAATTTCCATTGAGGGGTTAATTCACAATGATTTGGTTCACCACACATTTTTAAATGCATAATGTATGCTAACTTTGTAGATAGAAATGTTATTAAGTACATTTAAATCTTGGGTTATTTTTGTCAAGCTCTGTGCTCTTCTGCTGTATGTTGCCTTAGTTTACATGGATATTTATATGTGTATATGTATATCTTTGTGTGAATATATAAGTTGAAAAAACTAAATACATTTTTCATTGATCTTAAATCATAAGGACCTGGGACTCCTGATTCACTGACTCCAGGGGAGAGGGTCTGAGGTGGAGGGGAGTCGACATTAGAGTGAGGATCCTCAAGAGTAGACGCACATGGCAGACAATACACACCTTCGCAGACACATGTTCAGGAGTCCGGGACAAGGCCACACTTGCCTGCTCTTCTTTCCTTGTCACGGCAGAGACCAGAAGACCCAAAGATGGTAACTGAAGTTGAAGTCTCTCATGCACATAAAAAAACATACACTGCCTCAAAAAATAGTGGTTTAAACTACAGTCCCCATGCTAGCAACAGCAGCACCAGAGAATTTGTTAGAAACACACATTCTTGGACCCTGTTCCAGATCTGTGGAATCAAAAACTGTGGAGATGGGTCCCGGCAATCTGGCTTTGAATAAGCTCTCCAGGTGTCTCTGAAGCTTGCTGAAGTCTGAGAACCAATGCCTTACACTCAGCTGATATTCTGGCTATGAAAAGGAGTAAAAGGAAGCTATGCCAAAAGATCAAACATTTACCTCAAGGAAAAAAAAATTAAAGCTTAAAATATCCTTTAAGCAAGACCGAGTCTTCCATGAATTCCTCTCTGGGGTTCTCAACAGGAGCAGAGCGTGTATAAAAAATCTGTTTGCTTGTGGGGTGCCTGGGGGGCCTCAGTCTGATCTTGCAGTCCGTGAGTTCAAGCCCTGCATTGGGCTCTGTGCTGACAGCTCAGAGTCTGAAGCCCGCTTTGGATTCTGTCTCCTGCCCTCTCTCTGCGCCTCTCCTGCTTGCACTCTGTCTCTGTCTCTCTCTCTCTCAGAAACAAACATTAAAAAATTTAAAAAATTAAAAAAAAATGTTTGCTTGCAAAGAAATAGAGAAACCTATAATTTTGCCTACCTGAATTATAGCAGATAAATCTTTACCTCCCCATTATAATTTCTCAGTAATATTCATTAAGAAGTAGTTCAATTTTGTATTAACTTCTTAGACCACTGTCAAAGAAATGTCAGCCCAAGTTGCTTAGGATTGGTCTATTTCACTATGGAGTACTCTTCAGGAAGATTCTGATCACTCTGCAAGGAGTATTGTCTGTAGGAGCAAAGAACAAATGAGAAAGCCAAAATGTCCTTAAGTTCAACATGGCAGAATAAAAATGTCTTGCTTTGGGAAAGGGAGATGATGTCTTCTTCCTGTGGCATCTTGGGAACCTTTCATAGTGCCTTGTCCATTGTAAGCTGCTCAATATTGATTTACTGAATGACTGAATGGAGCATCCATAAGAGAACATCTTATGGAAGAGATGACACGAGGTGGATCTTAAAAAATGGGCAGAAAAGGACGGATAAAGTGGGAGGGCATTTTAGGTGGGAGGAGAAAAGGATACATAATAGGCTAATCCAAAGTTCGAGGTTAGGCCTAAATGTGGAGTGTCTGGGACTGAGTGGAAGGCACTGGAGAGAAAAAAACTATTCATAGGGGGATACAATGACAACCAACATCATTACATCATATAAATGAGCTAGTGAGTTGAAGAGTACTCATCCTCTGATACGCTCCCTACTGTACTGGGCAAACAGCAGAGAACAAGATAGATGTGACACTTAGGTCCAGTGGAAGATGGAGAATAATGGCAGAAGCATGGTAAGTGTGTGGATAAGTGAGGTACCCTAATTCCAGCCACCAACCATTGATAACCACCTGGGACCCAGAGTAAGGGCAGCATGCCTGAGTCAGTCAATTCTAATGATAATGAGAAAATGATTGGTGTTGTTTTAAGCCACTAAGTTCTAGTGTTTCTGACACAGCAAGAGCTAGCTAGAACACTATCCTGATAACACCGAATGAAAGAGGGATCTTTTCACATGCCTTCTCACACTGTGCTGTAACCCCAGGAGGACATGTGGGCTCTGAAGCAACAGACGTTTATAATAAACGAAACAATCTACGAAAGGCACATAACGGGTTAGGGGATAAGATGTTCCATCCAAATATTCTCATTAGGAGAATAAGTGTATGCTTTGGGCAAATTGTCGACTGCAAAAAACCCCACCATTTTTCAAGGAAATTATGAAAATTTCAAGAATGAAATGCTAATGATCCACTAAACAAACTTCTTCCTTGATGGGGTCTTAGCCTTTAGCGTCATCTACTATTTTGGGGTAAACACGAGGCTCATTAGTTCACGCTGTACTGCTGCCCCTGAGCATCACTTCTGGGAATAGATGGAACAGCCCAGTGTCCAGTCAGCAGAGCCACCACAGCCACCAGCTGTTTGTTCAGAGCAGCAGAGCTTGGGCAGGACAGGCCTGCTACTTACTGCTTTTTTCTTTTTTTTTTTGTAATGAATGGTTGTTAGCTAACAACCAGGACCATATTCACACAGGACATAAGAGGTATTTGACTGCTCTCTGTGAAAGTCAGAGAAGATAAAAGAGAAGTTGGGGGATAGGAAGCATGCCCTATTATTCCCTAAGACTTTGAAGGCAGAGAAATCCAAACAGCAGGCACAGAAAATACAATGAAGATTCTATAAAGGCCCAGAGTTTTCTTTAAAAGGGGTAAGGCCTCACCAAGCATAAGCAAAAGAAATTCTTTTGGGTGTTCCTTACAGAAGGAAGAACGCATTTGTTTATATAATTCTTCAACTAGGTACCCACATTCTGAGTGCTATTGACAGTAACGATGATGATTAATGCTCATGCAGCATATTACTCACCAGCCACTGTTCTGCTTGCTTTACATTTATCACCTCATTCCATTCTCACAGCAGGCCTAGGAGGTGGGTATCATGAGCCCATTTAACAGACAAGCAAACTGCCGTGAGCCCGTGGCCACACAGTGAGTCGTGGGAGCCCTTCCTTAGTATTCTAACTCCGAAGAGACATGTGCTCTAGCAGGGAGGGTATCAGACCACGGATTGGTATTTTCATCTTGGCTCCACCACCAACTAACTATAGCAATTTGGACAAGTCATTTCTTTCACCTGAAGGATGAAAGAGGTAAATTAGGAGATTCAGAAGATCCCTCCTACTCTAGAACTGCTGATTCTATGAATAATTCTGGCCTCTGAGTAACAATCAGCTAAAAGCAAACCTTACTTTTTAAAAATAAAATGTTTATTTTTAGAGAGAGACAGAGAAAGATTACAAGTGGGGGAGGGGCAGAGAGAGAGAGGGAGGGACACATAGAATCGGAAGCAGGCTCCAGGCTCTGAGTTGTCGGCAGAGCCTGATGTGGGGTGAGATCATGACCTGAGCTGAAGGTGGATGCTTAACTGACTGAGCCACCCAGGTGCCCCCAAACCTTACTTTCTGAAGCAGCACTGAATACAGAGTGTACAGAACTGAGAGGTGTGAACATCTTGTGGGCCTTGAGAAACAAAAGGCACCACTCACTGGTGTTGTGTTTCAAAATACCACGTGATGGATCAGAATGAGGCAGCTTTAACCTGCTGTCAGGACATGTTTACTTTTACAAAAAAAATAAAGCATCCCAAGAGAAAATAGAAGATCATCAATAAGATGAAATGTAGGACCAAATATTTAAAAAAAAAAAGCAATACAGAGAGCATTATGTGGTTTTTATTGGCACTTATTTTGAAAAGCACTTGGCCTGCCTATGACCACAGCAGTAACCATTTACATTCTGGTTAACTTATTTCTTCTGAGAACTAAGTCCTGGGTTAGTTTGTGCTGCTGAGGAAGAAATAAAACATAACCTCACGATGTCTTCTCAGGAATCTTTTATTTCTCTCATCTTTGATAAAGTTTGACCCTAATGAAACTTAAATGAAAATTTCAAGTCAATATGCAGATTCACAAGCATCTTATTGAGGGGTCACAGATACATGATGACAGAAGCAGTGAGAACATCCTGGGCCATTGCCCACAGTGGCAAAATAAGGTTTCAGACCTCCTGAATTCAGCAAGGGTATAATCTACAAGTAACTCCCCTGAAAATTCACTGGAGTTGACCACTTAAGGCAACTTCCCCCTTCCCACTCGTGCTTACTGGGTTCTACGTTGGTACTGGCAGTTGGATTGGAGATCAAAGCCATGTTCCTTCAAGGATCCTTAGAAGTTTATACAGGGGAAGTGTCTTTTCTGAGGATGTGGAGCTCTCTGCTGGACTCTACGTCTTCACGGTGGCAGAACATTAACTTCTCAGATCAGCATGCCAGTTCTCAATCAACTCAGAAATTTAAGACCAAGTGTTTGTTAATACAGCATCCACTGGAGTACAATTCCTGATTTCTTAGGAACCCATTAACTCATTGGGAGCCCCCTTCCAACTCAAACCCATGAGTGATTTGAACATAGGGTTATTCAGCCCACAGGGACTGGCTGAGAGGCTGGAAGTTCCGATGGCTGACTGTCCTCTTATTTAACAGTACCATGTGGGATTTCCTGTCCCCAGGGGTATGGCAGAGGAGAGTATCCAAAGTGCAAGTGGTGACCTGGCCATTTATGTGGAGTTTCCCATAGATCTCATCAAATTTGGCCAGAAGGGCAGGCACATCCTTCACTTTTTTCCTTGCTTTGGCCAGCTGGGGAAAAGCCAGAGAGCAGATCATTATCTCTATGGAAGATTTCTTCCTTATTCTTCTTATTCTCCAAGAAGCAGAGATCCAAATGCATTAAAATGTATAGTGTATACCTATAATGGTGAAAACCAGAGTACTGGGCCACACAGAGGTATGAATGACTACAAGGGATTCCATAAGCTATATACCAAATTCACAATTGGTACTTGACAATCATTCCTGATATCTCATAAAAAGGGCATTTATGTGGTACATACTATACAATGAAACATACTAGGAAAAGGAGTCAAATAGCAATGGAAACAGGTTTGCCAAATTTAATAATCAGAGCAGGACGCAGGGCCAAGTAGGTAGGGCTTTATAACATGGTAAGTTTTCTGGAATGTATTCTAGAAGCTGGAAGAAGGTCCAAATTAGGACAGGATCTGATTTAAGTTTAAACATCTGAAGATTATGTTGTTTAAACATGTGTAGAGAAAGGGAGGATGGAGACTAATCCAGAGGCCAATAACACAGTCCACATGAGAGAAGATCACAGTCTAAACTGGAAAATGTAGGCACAATATGCAGAAGTAAACATCGATCAAGTATATCTAGGGGGTTAAACTGAAAGGATTTATTGTAGAAGAGGTCAAGGAAAGGGAGGAATCAAAGACATCTTCCCAATTTGGGCTTTAGTGACTTGGTGATGGGTGAGGTAATTAATGGAGATGGGAAAGATGGGAGGAACAGATTTAGAGGGGTAAAAACATCAAGAGTTCTGATTGAGATGTCTGTGAAAGTTCTATGTGGGTAAGTCAAGAGTTTGTTGGATATATACAAATATGAGGCATGGAGGAGAGGTCTAAACCTAAGGTATAAACATTGGAGTCACAAGCGTATGAACAGTATTTAATTCTACAAAAATGGGTGAGCTCTAAATAACAATGTAAAGCTACCTTTGAACAAAATCAGCATCTGACTTAGTTCAATCCTTATTTATGATACAATCTAACAAGATTTCTTGATAAAATTTACTTGTGATCAAGGTCCCTAAGAAATCCTCTGGTCACCTTCTAGATATAGGTCATAATCTTTTCCGCTGCTGACATACCTTCCTTTAAAACAATGGCTCCCATGAACCTTCAGGTATGAAGATTCAACACTTTATGTCATTCTTAAGAAGAATAGCTTGTTCCATTCATCTGTTGATGGACACTTAGGCTCTTTCCATGTTTTAGCTATTGTGGAGAAGATGTGGTTTATCTATACCATGGAATACTACATGGCAATGAGAAACAATGAAATCTGGCCATGTGTAGCAACATGGATGGACCTTGAGGGTGTTATGCTGAGCGAAATAAGTCAGGCAGAGAAGGACAAATATCATATGTTTGCACGTATAGGAGGATTAGGAGGAACTTGACGGAGGAACAAGGGGGAGAAGAAGGGCGGAAATGGTGGGGGAAAGGGAGAGAGGCAAACCATGAGAGACTCTTGAATGCTGACAAAAACTGAGGACTGATGGATGTGGGGGGGAGGGGGGGATGGGCATGGAGGAGGGCACTTTGGGGATGAGCACTGAGTGTTATGTAGAAACTAATTTGACAATAAACTATTTGTAAAAAAAAAAAATAAAAAAAATTAAAAAAAAATAAAAAAAAAGAATAGCTTGTTTAGTCCCTGCCCCATGTTGAAGGCAAAGTGACCTAATGGACAGCATATGGTTTCCAAAAGCAGCCAAGCAAACATGCCAACCTGGTGAGAACTTTGCTCTAATTGCATACACCGCCTCAATTCTCTCCCATCACTACACAAATACCAAACTGTGTCATTAGGACTATTCTACCATTTAAGCAGAAAAGAGATTTTACTCCATTGTTATGCATGCATACTCCACATGCAGTCTTACAAGCCTATTTAGAGCTGGTTCAAAGGCTACTGGAGTTAGAGCATTTGTTTATTTCTCAAAGGCAGCTCCCCATGCAGCCTCACAACACCCAAGAACACACTCAGCTCGAGGGGGAGCTTTTGAGATAAATCAATCTTACAGACTTTGGGGGGAAAATCAGATAAAAATCAGTATTTCTCAACGTGGAGTTTGTTTGGATGCTTGAGTCATTATAATTGGGACGACATATTGACAAACCAGGTCTAACCGGAGTGATTAACATTAGTGCTGTTGGGGAAACTGAAGTTGTGTCAGTAACGGACGCACATGCACATGAATGTGCACTTTAAAGCCTGTTTACATTTCCAGTTCCCCTACTTTTCTAAACACACTCCAAAAGGGTTTGGGTGGACCCTTTTGGGTCTAAGTGCCATGAATACAAATAGATAGACGCTTTAAGTTAGCCATATCCAGTTAGTTTCCTGATAAGCTCCCTTTGCAAGCAGAAAGAAGCCTTTTGGGCGGAAGTACGAAAAAGGGGTAGGGCTGGGAGGGCAAGAGAGTCAGAGGAGGGAGAAAGAAGCCTGCTGCCCACTCCTGCCAACCAGCAGGGGCCAGTACTGTCAGAAGGCAAGGGAGGGAGGGAGACAGGTCCTTTCATTAGTCAAAATGACAATACCAATATCTTTAGTAACTAACTCATCACTGCCAGTAATTTACGATTTCCTTACAGTAACTAACTCATCACTGCCAGAAATTTATGATTTCTTTACAGTTTTTCCCCTTTAGCTACCTGTGTACAAATTACTAAATTTCAAATTACTTACAGTAGCTCCTCTTTCTGTGCTTCAGCCATCAGTGTGAGACATGGGTTCCTTTGTCGCATTTTGCTTTCAATTTTTGGAAACTGCTTATCATTTCTATTTAATTTTGTTTCACAGTTTTGCAAAAACATTTATACAGTTCCAATAGTTGGTCTATTCAGTACCTATAACTACAGTTCTAATGATAGAAGCAGTCATATAGCCTAATGTCTGGCAGGTCCAGCACCTCTCCTTGCTCTTCTTTCACAGGGTTTTCCCAGTTAATCTTCTGGTTTGTTCTTTCTACTAAACTTTAACTACAGAAGTAAAACTAATGGCACTTTCATTATGTTACATTATCACAGTGGGTTGGGAAGAACTGACTTCATGGGATTGAGTCTTCCTATCCCAACACACAGCATGTCTTTTGTGTAAGGAGGGATGATTTTTAAAAAAAATTAAGGTGAGGGCTACTGTAGCCTATTGTTTGTTGACGGGAATGTTCCTCAGGGAAGGGGATGTTCATGATGCTCAAAAGAGGGTAAGACACCTTCTGAACTGATGTCTTGCAGTGGGTCAGAGGGATGGGCTCCAGGGGCTATTGGGGGAGCCTGCACCAGAGAGGTATGTCCAGTCTCCATGGCTTTAGGGGGGAAGCTGAGCAGAGGGGACAGGAGGCGGTTGGTGAGGCAGCAGTTCTCTCCTGATTGCTCTGATTTCCCCCATGAACCAGGGACAGGGGTGGGGGAGTGGGGTGAAGGTACTGGAGGGCTTGAGGAGAAAGAGAAATGAGAGCCGGGACCCAGGAAAATAGTATTCTGGGGGCAGAGGTGGAGGGTGGGGGTAACAATGTAAGAGGCCCAAGTTTTCCTAGACTTTCAGAGGATATTTCCTGTTGGAAGAAAAAAAAATCTTTGCACCCAAACACAGAAATCTTTGAACAGAAAGAAGAGGGAGTTTGCCATATGTGGCACTCTGTAAGGTGGCGGCCTGTAGAATGAAGACAGTAAGTAGACACTCTAATGAACATCCTTTCACCTGTAAATCATTTCTGCAGCAATCTCATACTCACCACTTCTTCAGAGAACTCTTGTCTTTTCACAAATTGTGATAAATTTCCCTCTGCAGCATCCTTTAGTATCTTTATCAGGGTTTTCAACATATTTGACTGGATATGAATCAAAATCTGAATACAAAGAACAAGCAAGCAAAAACAAGACTGAACCAGTGCTCAACAATGATATATGTACCTGACATTTACAGTTACCTATCTGTTTTCAAGCTATTTCCTAATTCATTGTCTTGCACAAGTTCAAAGATGCTTTGAGAATATATGTCTGTCAGCCAGAACTTTGTTTCCAATAGCTAATCAAAACACCTCAACTTTAAAACGTAAAGGTAGAAATGGAGAAAATATGGATTTTGGAGTCTGGTATATTTGGGCCAGAATCTCTGGCCATGTATTTTATCCTGTTCAACTTCTGTTATTTGTAAAATGAGGAGAATAGGTTTACATCTCACATTTGGAGTTACTGTGAATATTGAATAAAAGTACACAGGAGGTACTCAAACATTACTATCAGTTTCTTCCTATTTTTTCCAGATTCAGAGCAGAGGACTATCAGACAATCTTCTAAGATTGACTGTGGGGCGAAATATACCTTTACCTATACCTATACTTTTACCTTTACCTATACCTTTTTTCTTTTCTTTTTCTTCCTTCCTTCCTTTCTTTTTTTTCTTTCAGGAAATTGTGCAGGCATCAAGAGAAAGCTGGTTCAAGTACTCCTATTTATACTGTGGCTATTAAGGAACTTCTAAAACTGGGTACTGTACTTGGCTTTTAAAATGGTACCACTAGAGGCGCCTGGGTGGCTCAGTCAGTTAAGTGTCTGACTTCGGCTCAGGTCATGATCTCAAGGTTCGTGGGTCCGATCGAGGCCCATGTCGGGCTCTGTGCTGACAGCTCAGAGCCTGGAGCCTGCTTCGGATTCTGTGTCTCCCTCTGTCTCTGACCCTCCCCTGCTCAGAGTGTCTCTCTCTCTCTCTCTCTCTCTCTCAGAAAAAAACATTTAAAAAAAAATAAAAAAATAAAATGGTACCACTAACTACCTTCCATCAGACAGGCATAATTAACCCAAGAAAAAAACCACATTCCTGTCTCCCCTTATTACCAACGTTCACTAGTACAATTTGAAAACTACAGAAAAGGTTAAAGAAAATAAGAACAACTCAGAATTCCCCAACTGTTATCCAGTGTTTATAATTTCATGTATTACCTTCCAAATGTATTAATTTCCACCTGATCTGATTCTGCTTTCTGTCAACTATTATACAATGAATATTTTCTCATTAAGAAATTATAGACTACCTCATTTTTAATAATGAATGCATAGCAATCCATCATATACATAGGATAATTTGTTAATTTAAACAATACCACTCTTCAATATACTGAAAAATTCAATATATTGACAAATGCATACATTAAAAAAAAACTTTTTAACTTTTTAGGACTTGATTCCCAGAAGTTAAATTATAAAGTCAAAGAATATAAACATTTTAAAGGCTCTTGATCCTTTGGAAAAGTAGTTTTTCCGGAGGAGATATTCCTTTTCATATAGCAAATGAACTAAGTTCTTTCTACAGACCATTTATAACAATTTAAGTTCGTTGAGGAGTTGATCAGGATGAAGGGCTATCTTTGGTCCCAAAGAACAGACTGAAATGATCCCAAGTAGGCTAAATCCAAAGAACCCCATCTGAGTTCCGTGTTCTAAAGCACAGGCAAAATCATGAGCACATTTTCACTTAGAGGCAACACTCCACAGGTTTCTCACATTCAAGCAGAAGTACTCCCTGCCCTTTTCCGGATTATCTTTCCAAGGATATCCAGACAACAACAGCTTCGAAAGACATACACAGTGCCCCATGCAGAGAACAGGGCAGGCATGCTTACTGCCATTTTGAGAGATCTGGGTTCTCCAAAGTCAGGCATCCTCTCTTTTAAGTATAACTTCCTGTGTGTGTTAAGAGGCATATAGGTCTCATCTTGCTGTGTGGGAACTGGGTTCAAGGAACTGATGCAAAAATGCTAATGTTGTGGCTACTACTATTGCTCTGATTAAGAAAATACCCTTCACCTCTCAGCACCTTGTGAACTCTACCAGCATCCATGAAACTATGGAAGGTTAACTCGTTAGCTTAAAAGTATAAAATCTCTAACTCTCAATAGTACTTCAAACTCTTATATTAATAAAAACCAATTCTGACTGGGTTGAAGCTGTCTGTCCTATTGAGGGCAAGGAGAAGTCGACCTTGTTAGGTGTTAGGTCTCTCGTGCCTGGCACCTAGTAGACCCTCGCCAATAAGGAATTGGAGGAGAGCAGAGGTCCCCTAGCAATTTACACAGATAAACCTCCCGGAGCTCCATGCTAGGATCTATTAATGATGTGCTCCTGGAAGATTTCAACTTCTCTTCGTAAGTCTTCCCAATTTCCCTCCTTGCCTCCAGCAACTATCTGTGATTCAGAAGGGATTTCAAGAGTAAAGTTCAATAACTCGAAACCGATGGAGGACAATATTGAGGAGGCAGTTGCTGATGAAAGGCAAAGAGAATTTAAAGCTAGGAGAATTGATCTCAAACTGAAACCTCAGGGTACGGTTAAGGAAAACTAGATTAAGGTACAGCACAATGCTTTAATCTTAACAGGTTTCAAACCAAAGGCTAAAAAAATTAGCAAGGAATAGGCGGAATTTAGGTAAGAAAAACTACTCCAGGAACTACAGGACACCTCCTGCCCATCTGGTTTCCTGAAATCTCAAGAAATGTTCACAAGTCATTGGGTCCTTTGACCAAAATAAAGGACAAGAAGCCCCGAATATGCAGAAATTTACATTTTGTCTCTTTTAAGTTAGCTATATTTGAAGGAGAATATCATAGTGCAATAGAGACTGCTAGTTTTCTAAACAATATCTATCCTCCCCTTCTTTTTTTTTTTGATTAACAGAACTCCCTAACTTCAACTGATGCTGCCATGTACAGAATTCTAAGACTGTATTTCTCAGGTTTCTTTGCTACTATGTATGGTTACAGTATTCAGTTCTGGCCAATAACATTTGAGTCCAAGTGGCTGGGTGAGACACTGGGGAAAGGATCCTCAAAAGGGTCCAATGTCTTTTTGTCTTCTATTCTTCCTCTATCTTGCTGGAAAAGATGTAATAGATAAAAATCATGTGCTTAGTATGGTGGTATGGAAACACAGAAAGAGGCTGGGTCCCTAATGTTACCATAGAATGTCACATCAGACCTAGACTGACCATCTACATGGTTTTATACATAGAAGAAAAACAATGCTTCTCATTTCTATAAACTCCTTTTTTTCCCTCTCAAGTCTACATTGCTCTTAACCAAAATGCAATTCTTAAGCTCCAAAATCTTAAGGGATTTATGGGAAAGAGTCCTATCTCCTTGTCTATCCTACATGCAGCCTAGGAGGCTTCCTAGCATGGGCTGTAACTTTAGGATGACCTTAGTGACTGGAGAAAGGGTCATTAAAACATTTATCTGTGTTGGGGAACCTGGGTGGCTCAGTCAGTTGAGTGTCCGACTCTTGATTTTGGCTCGGGTCAGAATCTCATGGTTGGTGGGATCAAATCCCACACTGGACTCTGCACTGACAGCACGAAGCCTGCTTGGAATTCTCTCTCCCTCTCTCTGCCCCTCCCCTATTCATGCAAGCACAAATGCATATGATGCTCTCTCTCAAAAATAAACATTGCGGGCCTAGGAATTTACCCAAGGGATACAGAAATGCTGAGGCATAGGAGCACATGTACCCCAATGTTCATAGCAGCACTCTCCACAATAGCTAAAACATGGAAAGAGCCTAAGTGTCCATCAACAGACGAATGGATCAAGAAGATGTGGTTTATCTATACCATGGAATACTACATGGCAATGAGAAACAATGAAATCTGGCCATGTGTAGCAACATGGATGGACCTTGAGGGTGTTATGCTGAGCGAAATAAGTCAGGCAGAGAAGGACAAATATCATATGTTTGCACGTATAGGAGGATTAGGAGGAACTTGACGGAGGACCAAGGGGGAGAAGAAGGGCGGAAATGGTGGGGGAAAGGGAGAGAGGCAAACCATGAGAGACTCTTGAATGCTGACAAAAACTGAGGACTGATGGATGTGGGGGGGAGGGGGGGATGGGCATGAAAGAGGGCACTTTGGGGATGAGCACTGAGTGTTATGTAGAAACTAATTTGACAATAAACTATTTGTAAAAAAAAAAAAATAATAAAGTAAAACATATGTTTTATATAAAAAAAAACATTAAAATAAAACCATTTTTCTGTGTTAACAAATAATGATAAAAGTAGCAAAACTAACCAACTGTCAATTCCCCTGCAAAGTTATTCAATTCCAAAATGGGCATGCATTTGGAGACATGCCTTATTTCTAGAGACATGATTGGAATTCAAATAGCATCAGTGGAAAGCTATCCCATGTTGGTCTCAGCTATTTTCAAACATATTTAGAAGTGGAAATTAATCCTTTGATATTGATTAACATTGCTAAAGAGGGAGCTATAGTTCTTTTGAAATTGATGGGTTTGAATTCAGACAGCAGAGCCAATATGCATGTGCCTCCATGAGATCATCTACTAAATCAATTCAGCATGTAGCAAGTATTAGCTGGGAAAATGGAAAATCAGGCCCTCTGGGTCATATTGGCAGCAGGCACAATTTTGATGAAAAGAAAATTAAGTTGAGGGGGGGAAATTAGGTAAGTTCAAATTCCAACTGGCAGCAGGAAAAGATTTTAGTAGAAGACATTAATTTTTAAAGTAGATCAGAAGAAAAAAAAAACTTCATTTATTCCTGCTACTACTGACTAAACTTTCTATGCAGCCTATTTGTCAGGTTTCCATTTCTTAATAATTAACCAATTGCCCTTAGGGATGCCAAGTAGATGACTCAGATTTAGAGAAGTTAGGGCCCATTAAATCAGTTTTTAAAAACCTGCTCTAATAACAAAGATCTGCATCTGAAAGATTATTAAACCTGAGAATGATAACTGTTTTTTTTCATTATCCCTAAGGAAGTCAAAACAGGTTTACACTGAAATATAAGAAACTTGGCTGAAGTTCTTATATTTGGAAGAAGTTCCTGAGTGAGCACTTTTAAACAATAAAATGGTCTTTTTTTTCTCTCTCTTTTTAAAAAATGCTTATTTATTTTTGAGAGAGAGAGCAGAGGCAGAGAGAGAGGGAGACAAGGAATCCGAAGCAGGCTCCAGGCTCTGAGCTGTCAGCACAGAATCTGAAGCAGGGCTTGAACCCATTAACTCTGAGATCATGCCCTGAGCCGAATTCAGATGCTCAACCAACTGAGCCACCCAGGCATCCCTAAAATGGTCTTTAAGTGTCTGAGAAATGTATACTTCTGTGACTCAATTCATGGAGGAACAATTCATATTCAAGATGAGTTCAAGGTTCCTTACATAGTGTTTGCCCAAAACATGCCCATTCCACCACATTTATCGGCTGCCTTTCCTTCCCAGCTCTCAGAGAAAAGAAGTTAGTCTTGCTGCCCTGGCTGGTGGGTGCACTCCCCACCATGCTCTGGGCCCTGGATTTCTCTACCTACTGTGAATGGACAGCTCTACTACCAGGCTATGTTTTATTTCCACCAAAGCAGTTTCTCAGATGGAAAAAACAATTATTACTGGATTCTCATAATAAATTGTGACAGCGAAGGACTGCAAGAGATAAAGCTTCTCAACAAATAAAAGGGAGGACGTGCACTACCAGCAACTGTGTTTTTTGACATCCAATCCTTTTCCTTTTCATTCAGGATTGGCTAATCCCAAACCTGAATAAAAAGATACATCCCTTATCTCTGTAGATCTGGAGTGGTGGGGAAACAGATGTGTTTGTGTTACAGCCTGACTCTGTACATAATTAGCTTCAAGAACTTGGATCATTTATTAATCCTTCGAATCTCCATTTTCCAAATGTATGATATGGGAAAATACTGTTCCTACCTTTATAAAATGAACCAGTGAGTATTGAGTACCTCGCATGGTACCTTAGCTCAGTTAAGTGAAAATGCTGCTGATCTGTATCTCTTCAATATCTCACCATCAATCCTTGCTGATCCTCCCAAGCTCACTTCAACTCTAGGAAAAGCTACCAGTGATCCACAGAACACTCCTCTTTCCTACCTGATGCTATCAACCACTTGGAATCCTAGCAATTCTACTTCTGTCCAAACCTGAAAGTACTTCATCTGCAGGCCACTCCCTCTCTCAGAAGCAATTATGTACTTGGATACCCAGAGTCGTCAAAATCCAGTAGCCAGCAGAGAAGGCACAACACACACAGCACCTTCTAGAAAACCAGGCTTCCTCATACTGTTGGCTCAAATGACCTGAACTTCTGGACTCGGGGCCTTTGCCACCTTGACATCCCAGATCTCATGGCTGTGAGTTTTCAGGCTGACCCATCTGCTCTGATCTGCAGTTTCTGTGTAGGCACCCAGTCTTGGGGTAGGGGCTGTCGGCAGCAGGCTGTGACGGGCAGGGCTATCCGTCCTCTTAGATTTCTATTCGCTGGTGCTATTTCTTCCCTGTCTGTTTCTGGGGATTCCTCGGCCTCACCACTGATGTCTTACTAAACTCACTTCTGGGTCCTCTTACCTCATTTTTTGGTGGTATTTGTCAGTTCATATCAGATCCACTGCTGGTTTTATATAGATGAGTTCTTAATGAACAGCTGTGATATTCATCCCTATCTAGGCTCCTGCCCTTTAAAAACTAGGATCTCTTTTTGGATATTTTTCTAGTATTTAGTCTCTTCCCTTCCAAAACCATGCTTTTTTTCAGTTTCTCTTTTATCACTGTGTCCATCTTTCAGGTTCTCTAATCATCTTTCCCTCACATGAAAGGACTTTGAAAAGTCAATGTAAGGTTAAATATAAGGTATTCTTATCTCAGACTTTTGGCAATCTTTTCCTCCAAACTTTACCAGAAAGGCTCATCTAGTCCTTTTTTTTTTTTTAATATTTTAATTTTTGAGAGAGAGAGAGAGGCAGAGACAGAGAAAGAAAGAGTGCAAGTGGGAAAGGGACAGAGAGAGAGGGATACACAGAATCTGAAACGGACTCCAGGCGCTGAGCTGTCAGCAGAGAGCCCGACGTGGGGCTTGAACTCATGACCTGAGCCAAAGTTAGACGCTAACCAACTGAGCCACCCAGGTGCCCCCAGTCTTTTCTTGAAAGTCATCTGGGCTCTGGTCTGGGGGTGACATTTGAGGATAATCACTACGGAAAAACAGAAAACCATGGAACCTTGGAGTTATCCCCAATTCCTATTCACTGGGTTCTAGCATTTGTTAAATATAAATATTCCTCTTTATGTAACACACTTCATTTCAAACAAATACTTCTGATATTAGCAAGCATTCACTGATCACTGATTATATGCCAGGTACTGAGCATTATTTTTTTAATTTTCACAATAAAAGGATGGCAATATTTCTATTACTATTGCTGTTTCAGATAAAAGGAAAACGGAGACCAAAGACGTTAAAGAAGCTGCCTAAGGACTTAAGGCTAGTAAGAAGTGGTTACAATTAAAAGTTTACAAGGATGCCTGGGTAGCTCAGTCAGTTAAGTATCCAACTCTTGATTTCTTATGATTCGTGGGCTCGAGCCCCAGGTTAGACTCTACTGACAGTGCAGAGCCTGCTTGGGATTCCCTCTGTCTCTCTCCACTCTCTCTGCCCCCCACCCCCGCCGCCAGCTCAAAATAAATTAAAAAAAAAAAAATATTAAAAAAGTTTATATTCTTTTAATGGGAACCCACAGCAAAACTAATCTCCTAACAAAGAATGCCCTTTAACCCATATCCCTTCAATCCAGTGGTCCTGTCCTCCTTCAGACACTGCTTAACAATTCTCTCTTCACTGAGACCTGCAGTTTGCTCCCGCTGGCCAGCACTTCACTCCCCATGCTGCAATACTGCATGGGCTGTAAGCCCTTATTCTGGTTCATACCACACTGCCATTAACACATTTCTGTTCTTTTGACAATGTTTTCCTCATCTTCTCCTTGTGAGGTTTCAGGAGACTACGTTCTTAAAAGTTAGGGGCTTTCTTTTCAACTCCCCATAACACAGGTGTACTCAGCATACAAGCAGGGCCCCAGAAGTGGTTAGCTGAACGGGGCGTATAAGGTCTTTAATGACAACAGAGCCTCTTCGTCTTTTCAATTGTGCCAGTAAGGTGTAGATGACTCGCTCCTTACTGGGACAGACAGACCACGGCAGTCTGGCAATACAAGAATGAAAACAGCTAACATTTGTTGTCAACGTCAACATGTCATGCACTATTTTATGCACCACAGGTATACTAACTCCTCGAGTTAGGTACCATGAATAGGATGCAGTTAGTACACAGATTATTCTTAAGTCTCAGTCAAGACAAAGAGGTTATCTCCTTCCTCTCTGTTTCTACAGCTTTCTGTAGTCATGTGTTATACCTGCAGCATTTAGCTACATCTTATATCTGAGCATATCTACAGTTTCCACCCATGTGTAAACTCCTGGTAGCACAGCCAGCGTTGGCTCCCATTACAGGGGCTATAATGTAACTTTAACACAGAGCTCAGTAAATCCCTGAATTCAATCAAGATTTTAGAAAATCAAAATTCATCATACACAGATTAAAAAATCTAGGCATCATCTTACTATCTTTCAAACCTTTAAACAACAGAGAAGTCACTTACATTTAAATTAGTGCAGATTATGCTTTCTGGCTTCATGATTTGAGAAAAAGTGGATATAGCTTTCGCCACCTGGTTCTAGAAGAAAGAAAACCAAGTTATACTTCACACCATAAGAACATTACCCTTTTATCGTAAAGTTTGTTTAAAGATAGTAGGATATTCCTATTTATGATGCCCTAGGGGATTTGAAGTCCACAAGGAAAAAGTTTTTTTGGTAATCAAAAATGAACTTCCTGGGGCACCTAGGTGGCTCAGGTGGTTAAGCATCTGACTCTTGGTTTCAGCTCAGGTCATGATCTCATGGTTCATGAGTTCAAGTCCCAAGATGGGCTCTGTACTGAGAGCGCACAGCCTGCTTGGGATCTTTCTCTCCCTCTCTCTCTGCCCCTCCTCCACTCATGCACTCGCTTTCTCTCTCAAAATAAACAAACATATGGAGAAAAAAATGAACTTTCTACAAAATGTTTCCTATAGTTCCATATTATTGTTTTTAAAAATAGTTTTCAAAATACTTTATTTTTATTGAAGTATAGCTAATACACACAACGTTATATTAGTCTTAGGTGTACAACCTAGTGATTCAACAACTCTATTGTGTGTGCTCTGCACAAATGTAGCTGCCATCTGTCACCATACAACGCTATTAAAAGGCTATCGACTATAATCCCTATGGTGTGCCTTTCATCCTGCGACCTATGCCCTCCAAATCTGGAAGGTCACTGAATCAAAAAAAATTTTTTTTTCCATTTATTTATTTTTGAGAGACAGAGCATAAGAGGGGGTGGGGCAGAGCGAGAATGAGACAAAGAGTCCAAAGCAGGTTTCAGGCTCTCTTGTGAACCCCAAGATCGTGACCTGAGTCAAAGTGGGCTTAACCGACTGAGCCACCCAGACACCCCAGATTACTGAATGTTTTAATAACCTGAGTTCCAGGTTTTTTAAAAAAATGTTTATTTATTTGAGAATTCGCGAGCAAGGGAGGGGCAGACAGAAAATTTCAAGCGGGCTCTGCATTGACAGAGGTTCAAACCCATGAACTTGTGAGATCATGACCTGATCTGAAATCAAGAGTCAGACACTTAACCAACTGAGCCACTCAGAGGCCTCTGAGTTCTTGTTTTTAAACTGGAGGCATAAAGTTGGTATTTTTCCCTCTCTCACTGGACAGGTTTTAAAAAGAAAAAGAAATGAATTTTGAGAAGCAGAAATGCAAACTCCACCTTTGACTAAATTAGAAGAGCAGAAACCTCAAACCTCAGAAGAGATGAAAGTACTGCTGACAACACGGGAGATGGAGAATAGGGTGAGTTCTGGACAGAGCAGTGAAGAGAGAACACTGCTGCCTATCTTAGGAGCTCACAAAGTAGTTCTTGAAGGTGAGGGGCACAATCTGAAGTACAAAATCTGAATACCTGTTTACAGTGATGGCAATGGAATTTAGGACTAGTAAGGAGAGGTCCTCTGCATCTTTTTTGTGGCAAAGATGAGGCTAACCAAGAATTTAAATAAAGAAGCCATATTCACAGGAAAGAGTCTGTCACTATGACAGTGGCAGAGAATAAGATTCCTCATTAAAAGCTGCCTCCTTGCCCATTCCCATTAGCCACGGGGAAATAAGGCCTATGCATTTCTGTAGACAAAACTCATACATAAAAAAACAATTCCTACTAGTCCAGAACATGACAATATGTCTCTGCTTTCTTTCGGACATGGATTTTCTATAAATGACTGGTGTAAGAAACTTGTTTTTCAGTGATGAGTACTCAAAAATGAACAAGCACATGATCTATACAAAGACACAATGAGGAAAATGAAGAGCGAGAAAAGGGATATAGCAAAACAGAATCCAAAAATACCTGGCAAATGAGGAAACTCCAACAGAGAAAGGTTTCCATGGATGTAGAGGACAGTAATGAGAAAACAAGATCGAGTAACTCAGAAACAGGAAAAAGAAAAAAAATCAGGTAGGCCTCAGATTTCTCCACAGCAAGATTCTATACTAGAAGACAGAAGAGCAATGCGTAAAAAAAACCTCGAAAGAGGGGCACCTGGGTGGCTTAGCGGGTGAAGCGAGCAACTCTTAACTTCAGCACAGGTCATAATCTCATGGTCCTGAGAGTGAGCCATGCTTCCAGCTCCGCAATGAGCATGTAGCCGACCTAAGGCTCTCTCTCTCCCTTTTCCTCTCCCCCTCCCTTGCACATGCATGCATATATGCTCTCCCTCTCAAAACAAAACCAAAAACTCGAGAGAAAAAGGGTCACCTCAAAACTATGTATCTGGTCAAACTGTAGTTCAAGTCAAAAAACTAGGCAAATAATTTTAAATACCAAGAACATGGGAAATACTGTTCCTCTGAAGAAAGAAGACATTTTACTAGAAGATACATTTCAATCAACAAAGGGATGACTGGAAAACCAGAAGTAAATGAATATTTTAAAATATATGAATATGGTTAAGTATACGTAAGAATATATACCTAAATATATGTAAGACTAAAACAAACGTGGGGACTGTGATTACAGAATGAAGGACAAGTGTTATATAGTTGGATAATGAAGACAAGAGGAAAAAGAATGTAAGAGACAGTATGCTTAAGTGCCTTGTCTTCATTATGTGTGGTCAGAAAAATAGCACTTAAAGCTGACAAACAAAGCATATTTAAGAGAAAAATAAGTACTATGAAAAGTAACATATCAACCAAAATTGGGTGGCGGAGAAGGAGAAAAATGAGAGAAAAAAGAGGAAAAAACCAATTTCAGCATTACTCACAGTAGGGAATTAATAGGTACTGTCAGAGTAATTAGAAGACTAAGAAGAGTAAATCAAGTTATGGTTTTAAAGTACCTACTAACTCAAAAATACAAACCAAAACAAAGAAAACTACCACATGCTGTAAGTAATTCTAAAAGCTGTAAAAGCAAAACATGACTGAAACCTAAGACTAAATACACCACATCTATCTAGATAGAGGACGTTAAAGAAAGCCTAGCAGCATATCATAAGACAAAGTTCATGTCTATGCCGTGTACAAGAGATACACATAATACAATTCAGAAAAGATGGCAAATAAAAGGATAGGAAAAGGTGTGTAGGAGGCAACTGCAAACCTAATTAATCCAAAGAGGCAAACAAAAACTGGGGTGGGGTGGAGAGATATTAACATTAGACAAGGTGAAATCCCAAAAGGAAGCATTTTAAACAAAACGAAAAGATGTACTTTGTCATGCAACAGTAACAGATTCACAATGATATATAATACATCAATGATAGATCATAACTGCACGTATCTAAGCACCAACGGGCATAACTTTTTTTCTTTTTTAAAAAATATTTACTTATTTTTGGGAGAGTGCAGACAAGGCAGGGCAGAGAGAGAAGGACACAGGATTTGAGGCGGGCTCTGCGCTGACAGGCTGACAAGAGAGAGCCTGATACCGGGCTCAAACTCAGGAACTGTGAGATTATGACCTGAGCTGAAGTCAGACGCTCCCCTGACTGAATCACCCAAGTACCCTGCAAATGGTGTAACTTAAACACACATTAACATGGGGCACCTGGGTGGTTCAGTCAGTTAAGTGTCCGACTTCGACTCAGGTCATGATCTTGCGGTTTTTGAGTTCGAGCCCCGCAGCAGGTTCTGTGCTGACAGCTCAGAGTCTAGAGCTTGCTTCAGATTCTGTGTCTCCCTCTCTCTCTGTCAGTCCACAACTCATGCTCTGTCTCTCTGTCTCAAAAAAATTAAAAAAAAAAAAATAAACACACACAAAAGTTAAATACTATAGGAGCTACAGAAAGAAAGAAACATTCCTAAACAGGGACTTTAATTCATCACCTTCAGCTCCTGACAGACAGGGAGGACAAAGCAGTGCCCATGGCCAGGCAAACTTGAAAAGTTAAAGCAGCAGAAGTTAGCAACTGTGTATCCTCTTCAGTCTTTGTCTTTCAAGGGCTTTCCTGGCAGTATATATGGCCCCCATATTTTCATTTCTAATTAATGATAAACAAGGGTTCTGCAGACAAATTTTACCAGCTGGATAAACAAACTGGCTTGGTTATTTTTGCTGCCATTAAATCTCCTTTTACCACTTATGAAATGTTTAATGTGTTACACATTTTCTAAAGCCTTGGAATAGGACATCCTGGGAGGGGCTCTTCAGGAGAGGGGGTATTCCAGGGTTCCAGCTCTAACTGTTCATGCTGGGTGATGGCAGGCAGGCCCTCTCTTCTGACCTCAGTTGCCTTTGCTTGTCCTGAGACGTGGAGAGGCTACAAGATCACTAAAATCTCTTCCAAATGAGAATTTGGGTCTAACTAAGACATATTCGATGACCCCCCCCCCACCCCCACCCCACCTTAAACAGTAAACTGACCCAGGATTCCTCATTCACGTGAAATAAATTCCACTTTGGACAGCATTAAGTCAAATTGTTCTGAAAACCTTACACGGTAAAACAATTATTTAAAATTTTCATTTGAATTACTTGCAAAATTTCTCTGAGTAGAGAGCTTCCCTCACTTAGTTTCCAGAGAAACCCTGGCCAGCCCCTTCTCAACAGCAGTACATGTCAGGTCCTCAACTGTAAACACATTCTTTGGAGGCCTAGGTGTAGGTGTGGGTTGCTACAGCACCAAAGGCACTGGTCTCTTTATAGGAACTTTTTCTTTAGGATACAGTCAGAAGGGAAAAAATAAATGAAAGCAAGAGTGGATGAAAGTAGTCAAGTCTTCCCACTCCCCATTCACTGATGTACGCCCTGAAGCCTTGTTACCTGATTCAGAGCTAGTGCCACAGCAAAACAGGATGCTCTCCTGGAGAGGACTTCTCCTTTGATTATGGCTTCTTCTCTTAATGTCGTACAGATCTTCAAAGATTCAGGGCTATTCTGGCAGGAGACAGGATGGCTCAGTAAATAAATGTCATGCTCCTTTAAGGCTAATAAAATGATTGACAGTATTCAGTATTTCAGATCTCCTTCTGAAAGAAGTTCTCAGAGCCTATTTCAAGCCACTTAACAGATTAAGCCCCATACAGAGGCTTCTTGCAAAAAGACCAAGTTATTTACATACTAGCAGTTCAAATCTAAATTAACTTCATTTGTAAAGCTCTTGGTGAATTTTCTGATTTGGGGCCTTTTTACCACTGAGTGTACAGGCCTCTCTGTATCCAGACAGACTGGTTTCTAGACACAAGCACCACAATGTTAAAACTGTAAAAACTAGTCTGCTACTATATTAAATAGTAAAGCCCAGCAACACTAAACAGTTTTCCTGAGGGGATTTCGCATTTGAAAAAATCCATGTACGTCAAATACATGAAAACGTGAACACTTATATGAATGTAAATCATGACAGAAGCCCATGAAAATAGAAACTTAAAAAAAAAAAAATCCAAGAACCAAATGACACACAAACCAGCAGACTGTAACGGTAAAACTGAATTGTCTTCCTTTGCACATGCTGTAGGTGGAGTAGGTTTGTGAGAACATTATTAGCTTTGTATCTATGTGTATCTGTCATGACGCGACTCACAACTCAGAACCTAAAGTAAAACCTGAATCTGACGAGCGAGGACTGTTCCCAGAACCGGCTGGGAATTTGTAATGGCTGACCGGTTCAATTTTTCAACTCTCATCTCCACTGAGTGAAACAAGTTATTTTTAGACACCATACAGGGGAGAAAAGTACTCTAGCCTTCCTAAAGAGCTGAATTAAATTCTCTCCGCTTTAGCAGACACTCAGGAAGGCATCTATAAAAAGGTCAGAAAGCTCAATATCACAAAGGCTGAACAAACTGATGCTCAGCTGTTGTGTGTTTGGCCTTCTGTCTCACAGAATAAGAAAATGGTATGATTGGGGGAAAAAAAAGAATCTTAACTTTTACTTCATACTATATATGAAAGTTAATTTGAAGTAGATTGTGAATTTAAAGAAAACTATAAAGCTTCTAAAATTTAAAAAAAAAATGGTATGATTGGAAAGGATCAGCTAATAATCCAGCAAGGAGCAAAGGAAGACCCTCAGGCCCCAAGTCAAGCTTATGGCTAAAAATGGTTTTCAGAATTTTTAAGGTTTGTAAAAACAAAAACAAGGATAGAATATGTGACAGGACAGAGACCATATGTGGGAGAGACTGTATGTGGCCTCTAAAGCCTAAAAAGCCTAAAGCGGTTACTGTCTGGCCTTTTATAGTAAAACCTTGGGGCTCTTGAATTCAACCCTTTCATTTCACAAATGAATTCAATGACCACTTCAAAGCTGGCTAATGCTAAAGTTGAGACTATACTCCATGTTTCTCAATTTCCCAGATGATTTTCTTCCCACTACAACCCTACTGCCTCCCTTATTTTGGAAAATTAGTATCGCTCCACTTTTCAGAGAAATATTTTCAAGGACCATGCTCTTCCACCTTGCCTGGTGTTCCTTCCTTTTCACCATAAAAAGGTTTCATTAAGTTTACAAAGTTTAAGTAATACAAATGTCTACAGTAAAGCATGCAACTTTGGTCAATGCACTGTATCAGCTGTCATTTATGCAATGATTCATTCACTCAATAATCAGGAAATAGTTTCTATATGTAAAAAAAAAAAAAAAATCCTGATACAGTAATGACATATGGACTTCTAAGTCATGTTTTCTGTCATGAAGGAGTTCATTTTAGTGTCACAGACACTTATGAAAGATCAATTGTATACCAGGCACTGTTAGGTGCTAGTACACAAAATGCCTCAAACTTAACCTCTAGTGGGGAGGATGAAACATACCTCTGCCAAGAATAATATCAAGAAGTGAAAAGTGCCATATAATTGATACAAACAGGGCACAATTAAAGGATGTTACTTCCAAATCTGAATCACAGAAAATATTCACAGATGAAATCAAAGTAGCCCTTGAATTCACCAGTGAAGGATGATCAGGTTTCCACAGGAGAGAACTACAGAGAGGACTTCTCTTGTCGAGCCCAGAGTGGAGCTGATAACAAGAGGACCCTCAGCACACCTTGAACCCAGCCAGCACACGGCTCCTTGTTCTCCCTATCCACACAATTGCCAAAGAAGGCTGAAAGATGATAAAATTGCTTTCCCCATGATAAAACTGACATGGCTAACTTGAGTTTTCTAAAAACACATTTAAAATGGAAATATCTGCACCAGACGGAAAAAAGACTTTGGAGGAACTAAATTTTTCTTTGTAGCAAAAAGAAAAAAATAAATAAATTCTCTCAAACACTACCCACAGTGCTCTAAAAGTTAAGGGAAGCCAGTCTTACCAGTTTGTAGCAAATCGCGAAAGCAAGGACATAGGTGTCTTTGCTGAACTTCACATCTTGGTTTTTCATCTCTATCAGCACTTCCAGGGCACCTATCAAAAATGACAAGTGGGCAGACGGTGGTAAATGCATTCAGGTGAGTTCAGAGGCCTTTACTACTGATTTCCAGAGTTCTAATCTGTTCAGCGCCATCTACTGAAGTGTTTTCCGGAAGCATGTAAAAGCTATCTGTCAAAGTCATTGAGCAATTAACTAAATATCAAAGAAATTCTCAAATCATACAACAAGAACTAGTATTTTAAACATATTCATAGTTTTAGCTTAAGTAAAATCAGGGTGTTTAAGGCATAATATGAGACACAATAATGTTGTTTTCAAACTTAAAAGAATGAAGTCTCCAGAGTTCAGTCATTCACCAGGAATATAAAGATCATTTTTGCATGGTCCACTGTTTTTCCTAACTGCTATACCACCAAAGACAGAATTTCTCAATAAACAAATTCCAATACTTACTTGTATATTTGCCTTTCATAAATAACATATCCATCAAAATATTGAATGATGTGGCGTCTGAGAAGAAACCTCGTAAATGCTAATGAAAAAAAAAACAGTCTGGTTAAAAGTTATTAACTATTAAGTGAGGATGTATTGTTATACTTCATCTTCTCTATCCAGGGCTTATTTTTGTGTATACTTATTCATTTGGTCCCCTGAATTTGCTAATAAATCTCTGATGTACCAGAGTTTGTTTTTCAAAAAAATTCAAATGCTGCCCACCCACTCTTGGCTGTCATGCCTTTGGCAATGGGCACACAAACAAGAGGCAAGCAGTACGGCGAGAGTTCTCTAGGTTTCAGAAATACGGTGAAGAAGCTTTGCGCAGTGGCAGTATCGTAGCCAATGAGGTTTATCCGAGGCGCGATTATTGCTAATAGAAATACGGTGAAGAACACCTTCATTATACATGGTTCTCCCGTGCTTAGGAGAAAAGAAACAAGCCAATTAATTCTGGTAAGGGAGTCCTGCAGCGTGGGTGGCAGTATATTCATATGAAAGGCAAGGGGCACCTGGGTGGCTCAGTCCATTAAGTGTCCAACTTCAGCTCAGGTCATGGTTTCATGATTCGTGGGTTTGACCCCCGAGTCAGGCTCTGTGCTGATGGCTCTGAGCCTGGAGCCTGCTTTGTATCCTGTTTCTCCTTCTCTCTCTCTCTGCCCCTTCCCTGCTCATGCTCTGTTTCTCTCTCTCTCAAAAATGAATAAACATTAAAAAATATGAAAAGGCAGGTATAAGTATGCATGAAGACTAAGCAAAAAGAGTCGTACACAGCTGGGATCCTCTCTTGGCAAATGAATAATATTCACTTTTTGAAATAATTCACTAGATGCTTTTTTCTCAACATTTTTAATATCATGATAATGCAACACACGCTATTCAAATATGCCATTTAATGCCTCCTTGCTCTAGTTTGTTCTTATTTTGAGAGCCCACTATGCAGCCCACTAGGGGTTGAAAATAAAAAGAATGATAAACAACACACATAACACTGCTCTAACTCCAGTGGGGCTTATCGTCTAGCAGAGCTTAAATTCTGGTATGGAAGACAATGAATGAGTAAAACCAGTGAAAAAGTAAAATGTAATTTCAAGTTATCAATAAGGGCTACAAAGAACAATGAAGCAGGAAAAAGGGATAGAGTAGATGATAGAAGGTTGGGTCAGGGAAGGCCTTCTGAGGAGACCTCAATGAAGTAAAGGAGAGCCTCGATGATGAGGGTGTAGACCATTCTAGTCTGAAGCCATGGGTGTGGCATGTCTTAGAATAAGCAAGCCCAAGAGTGGAGTGAGCAAGGCGGATGGCAGGTGATAAGATACTACAAGGGGCCTCTAAGTCATGGTCAGGGGTCTGAGTTCTCCTCCGAGTGTGATGAGAAGACCCAGAGCAGTCCTGTCCACAGTGTGAGCCATATAGGTGGTTCTATATTTTCAAGTAGCTTCATTAAAAAAAATAAAAATACATGAAGTCAGTTTTAACAATGTTACCTAAATCCACTAAATCCAAAATAGAATTTCAACATGTAATCAATAAAAAAATTAAGTACTTTTTCTTTTTTATATCAATCATGTGAAATCCATCATGCATTTTACCCTTAGAGCCCATGTAATTTGTTTTTATTTTAATTTTTAAAAATTTTTAAATATTTATTTTGAAAGAAAAAGAGAGAGCGAGTGAGCACACAAGCAGTGGAAAGGTAGAGAGAAAGGGAGACAGAGAATCTGAAGCAGACTCCAGGCTCTGAGCTGTCAGCACAGAACCCAACATGGGGCTTGAACTCAAAAACTGTGAGACCATGACCTGAGCTGAAGTTGGATGCTAACCAACTGACCCACCCAGGTGCCCCAACATCCCATGTAATTTGAACTAGTCACAGTCCCAGGGCTCCATACATACATGTAGAGAGTGGCTATGATACTGGCAGCACTACAGGGTTCAGCGTAGGGGGCACAGTAAATTAAGAGTGAAAACAGGATTAGGCTTTAATGTCACTGGACTCAAATTCAGTTTAATCTGCTACTCTAGGAAACTTAGTTATATATGATTATTTCATGCATGGGTCTAAGTTTTATTTTAAAAAAACAAAAACAAAAAAACAATTGAAGTTGTATTTTCTTTCTTTTTGTTGATCAATATACTCATGGCTTGTCATTACAGTAAAATTTTCATTGTCCTTCATTTTCCTTTAATCACAACATGATTATTGAACAAATAATACAAAAACTTATAGTAAGAATTTCCTGTAATTCTACCCCCTAAAGATAAGTAGTAGGAGTTTCATGTAGATCCTTGCAAATTTTTAACAGATATATACTAAAATATAAATATGTATATTTTCCTTTAAGGAAAAAAATAGGTTCAAACCAATCCACACTGTTGTAAAACCCCCTTTTCTCTGGTTACTAATACAGTATAATCCTCTTTCTAAACCATGGGTGTCCTTAAAATAGGGGCTAGTCAAGAATTAGCAGTTCCACCATGAAAAGAACACTTTATATGGAGTATAAGACAGGAAGACAACTTAGGAGGGTTCCTAAAAATACAAAAGTGTCCCAGGTGGTCAGCCCTGCCCCCAAATAAATGTTTCTGACCATGTATGATTTCATCATGTCTCTAAGTCCCAGTTTCCTCATCTGTAAAATGGATAGAATGACAGTATCCACCTCACCACGGTGTGTGGGGAACAAATCAAACAGGTGTAGTGCTTAAGCAGATTGCTGAGGACACAGAAAAAATTCAATAAATAATTACAGAAAAAATTATCATTATTTTTGTTTTTAGGAAAAGAAAATCAGAAGATGTGAAAGTATTGTAAAAGCCAGAAAAGCACTAAACAAGGTGGCCATCAACAAGAAGTAACAAATATAAAAAGAAAGGAGAAGGAGAGGGGAAGAATAGGAAAGGCAATCTTAAAACGCCGCCTGTCTGAAACTATCCCCCACTAAAAGCTTCTCTGAGAGGTCAGTCCCCAGGTCATAACCAAGGAAGGTAGATCCCTTAGAATTTGTACATGCATCTATTCCACACCTGTCCTACACCTCTATCTAAAACAACTGAGGCCTTTTCATAGCAATGGACTATAAGGAAAGCTTAAAATGCAGGTAAGAGCTCATTCCTTCAGCTCAGCAACCTTGCTCTGAAAAATCTAAGCCAGGAATAATGTGTGTAAGAGAGATGCCTTCCTTAACATCACTAAAAACACCCCATGCTCAGCACAAGGAAATCACTTTGACAGGGAAAGTAATCAGGAGACAAGAACCTGGTCTTTGATGAATTCCAGTGCAGATTCTTCAAGACCCAACTCGTAGCACAACCTCATGAAAAGTGGTCCAAATTTATACTCTCCCAAAGTGACATTTCTGTTCTCTGCATGGTACCTGGTAACGAAAACGATTCAGTGAGTCAAATGGTGAGATGCAGGGAAAAGGACAGACAGGTTGTGGCATGTACTCTGCTAACTGCTGGGGACACAATAAGGAAATGAGGTACTCTCACAGTCTAGAGGGAGAGAAGTACAGAAGTGAGGACAATCAGAGGAATTCTGGGGTGAAGTATACCAGGCATTTAAAAGAAAGGGTTTGTAAGAGGTCCACATAACCTCCAAGCTAAGCTAAGAACGGAAAAATGTTCATTGTCATCATCTCAATTAATTAACAGCCTGCTAGAACGAGTATTAGCATACATCAGGGAATAACCAGGATCTTGCACCAGCAAGCTCATGACAATGGCATGGGATCTTTGTATGGACTCCATCTAGAGAGGAACGAAACAACGGAGTAAAGTGATGCTCTGTCCTCCTCAAATTTGACTTCTCCACAGAGGATGTCAGACACCCTACAGATGTACTTTACAGTTTAGACCCATCGCTGTCTTTCTCTGCTCAGGCAAAGGCATATGTGAACTACCATCACCTTGCTAAACAAATTAAATGCTGTTTTGAAGTTCAGTTTTAGGAAAAAGGAAATTTCATACAGTGATATCTTATACATTGCTTGAGATTTCTACAAGCAGTCAGTCCACCAGTTAGGATTCAGAACTGAAAACTGCTAGCATAAATTAACTTTCAAAAACCAACTCTTTCTGTTTTACACACCAAGAAGACAATGTGGTGACAAAATAAGTATCTCATGATTATTTGTAACCCAGATTTTAGTAAGACTCAATATGTGAATAAATCACACATACCTTGGGAAAAGCTCTGACTTTAAAACCAGAAGGCTTTTTAGCTTCTGCTAAAATCATGAGGAGAGCTGCAGTAACATTATGGACAGTGTATCCTAAACATACATACTTACTGCCAAATAGAATGATGATATGTACTTATAAAGATACATTTTATAATCAAATTATCGAAATTACAAAATACATTCATTGCTTCATTACAAGTTATGAATTAAATTATATCAGTTGTATACATTGAATATACATGATTTTTAGTTGTCAATCATACCTCAATAATACTGGGGGGAAAAGAATTAGGTTATTTAAAGGCAATATAGTACAGTGATTAAGGATTCTTAGATTCTGATTCCAAACTGACAATTTAAATCTCAGCTCTTTTCCTTACTGTCTAATCATGAACAAATTAGTTAACCACTCCATGCCTCAGTTTCTTCATCTGTAAATGGAGATAAAAGTTCAACTCAAAGAGTTTTTGTAAAGATTAAGAATGACATGCCTACTAGCACACAGAAAATCTTCCATATGTGTTAGCTCTTATAAAATAGGAGGTATGCCGTGGAAAAACTTTTTAAAAAATCAATATATTCCAAAAATAGTGTCATGAAAAATTTGTGCCAGATTAAAAATAAAATAATGCAAAAACAAAAGTTTTCCCAATTTAGAGGACATTTATACTAATAAAAGTGCTAAAAATTCACAGAGATCAAGTATTACCACTTCTTGACAAGAAATGTTCAAATCAGAGAATCTAAAATACCCCTAATAAACCACACACTAACATGTGGTCAAGACAATGGGGGGATAAATCTGCTCATTTTTGACTCAATAAAGAGCTTATGTTCTGACTCATTACTCCTCTTCCCCAGTAGTGGGGTGCCTGTGTAAGCAAGACAGAGAACAGGTTGGTTAGGCCATGAACCTGCCCATTTGCCCACTTTTCCAGCTATCCACCAGTAAAGGGCAGAGACAGCAACTGGGCGGAATTACTAGCCACGATTTAGATTTGGGTAGTAAAAACTGATAGTAAAACAAGCCAGAGGGTCTAAAATGATTCATCTTTGTGAAACCGAGATGTTGCACAGTTGTGAAACCGTGCAAATGTAAATTAGCAGAACCCTTTTGGAAAATAATCTGGCATTTTGTATCAACAAATTTTTAAATGTTCATATCCTCTGATCACCTCCAAAAAGAAAGAATATGTTTTATGCATAGAGTTGTTCATTGCAGCATTATTCATACTGATGAAAATATCAAATAATTCAGACATTCAACAAGAGGGGTACCTGACATACAATGGAACATTATAAAGTCATTAAAATATAACATCTAAAAAAAAAAATAAATAAAAAATAAAATAAAATATAACGCCTAAATATATTAACAAAAACATTTATGCTATAATACTAAGTAGAAAACACTATCATTATGCATACAGTAATTATTAGAAATGTGTAAATAAACCCTACCAAAACCACACAATCTTTGCACATAAAAAACTAGTGAGAAAAAGGGGGTGCCTGGGTGGCTCAGTCGGCTAAGTATCTGGCTTTGACTCAGGTCATGATCTCGTGGTTTGTGAGTTCGAGGCCCAAATCAGGCTCTGTGCTGACAGCTCAGGGCCTGGAGCCTGCTTCAGATTCTGTCTCCCTTTCTCTCTGCCCCTCCCCTGCTCATGCTCTGCCTCTCTCTCTCTCAAAAATAAGTAAACAATAAGAAAAAAAAAATCAGTGAGAAAATGTATCAAATATCGACAGTGGCTGATCCATCCGGAGGTGGAGTCCTTCCTCTCCACTGAGGGTGGGTGTGCCAGGTAACTTGCCTTGACCAAGAGAACAGACAGAAGTGAGGCTGGGCAGTTTACAAGGCCTGCAGCTTCCACTTGTGGTGGGTGCCGGTGCAGCCTCGGCTAGACTCAGTAATGGTGACACACTCCAAGGGGAGAGGGGCCACAAGGACTCAGGTGTCAGAAAGACAAATAAAGCCTCTCGGACCTTCCAGCTCAGACTCTATAGCTGACTACAGAGGAGCAAGTGACTTAAGGAGACACCAGTACAGAACTGTCTGGCTAGCAGGCCTCAATTCCTGACCCTCAGAAATAATAGATAATAGTTAATAGATAACAGAGAAAAAAATAAATAGTTATCATGTTAATGCCATTAAGTTCTGGGATGCAGCAAGAGACAACAAAAATAGCAGAATCTGTGATATATTCTTCTACCTCTTTTTTGGGGGTTTTCAAACTTTCAATGAATTGCATGTAATTTTCTGTTTTTTCCTTTTCAAAGATAACATTAACTTTTTCATATTTTAAAATTGATAATGCCCACTATAGACAAGTTTGAGAAATCAAAAAAGTACATATTTAAACCAAAAAAAAAATGTGTAATTGCCCGAGAAACACAATTAACTTTTGGTACGTACTCTTCCAGTATTCTATATATGAACACCCTTGTATTATTCTGTCTACATTATAAATGCAGGTCCATGTATAGAAATCTATCTTTCAAGAATGATTAAAAAAAAAAAAAAGGCCATGAATTTAATTTGAGAAACAAAGCCTGTTATTTTGGGTCATACACTCTTCCTGAGTAAGTGAAACCTTTGCTGGGTTTCCTAACAGCAGACTATGATTACACGGAAGCTCCCCTGATGTAGGAAAATGACAATGGATAAGAGAAATAGGCATTTGCCTGGAGGAGAGAGAGATGAGCTAGGAGTCCATGAAGTGGTCCCAGTGAGACATGATGAGGCCTGAACTAAGACACTGGTAATGAGGACAGAGATCGGAAGGCCAGAGATGACAGACACTAGGGAAGTGGAAGTGGTAGGATTTCTTACCCTGTCGGGAGGAGAAGAAATAAGATTAGGGGAAAGAGGCTCCCAGTTATCTGTCCTGAGGGGTTAGTGTGACAGAAAATAGTAAAAAGAAGCAATTTGTGTAGTTGAATGTGATATATAAGTGGAGTTCATTAGGCTGGTGATTTCTTAGGACATGAATTCTGGTTTTCTATCCTCAGTACCTGGCATGTAGAAGGAATCCAGTAAGTGTCTGCTCAGTGAATATAAATGCCTGGAGCTCAGGCAGGCATGTGGGCAAGAGATTTGAAAGTCCTCAAGGTATAGTTGCCAGGTGAATCCATGTTAAGTGGATGAGATTCTTCAGGAAAAAGAAGAGTGAAGAAGAGACCAAACCTGGCAGAACTGTATGGAAACACCTCACCTGTAAATGACACTTTTAGCCAGTTCCACGTCATCCCGGGAATCACACAAATGAAGCAAGGTTTTCAACTCGTCTTTCAAGATGAGCTTGTTCTGGGTCAATTTCTCTTTCATTTTTCTCAGATAGGTTTCTGGAAGAAAGCAGAGTGTGGTGGCCATCACTCAGGCTGACTGGGACAGTCAGGAGTCTGACCTCAGGGAGAAGGAGAACCTGGATTCTGGCACACTGCAAAAAGGTACTGAGAGGGTCTCCCATCACTGACTAGTGTCCTCAAGAGCAGTATCACAGAAGGTCTATGAAGCAAACCACCTGTGCTTCAGGGGCACAGGACAGGGGCCCACTCAGAACTTTCTAGCATATAATCTCTAAGGGTAAGAACACAAGAACATGCAATTTTGACTACCTGGGTGATCCTTCTGCACACTAACGTTTAAGAACTAATGTCCCAGAGGCTTAGTCCAAAAAACTATTGACAGGTGACCCATTAGGAAAAAAAAAAAATGCAACCAAGACATCGAAACCATCAATTGGCAGGGTACCTAGCAGGAAAACTGAAAGGAAATGTGTACTGAAAATGGGTTTGCCCCAGTGGTTGGCCCACAGGATTTAGGAATATTTGAAGTCTCTTTCATTTGGTTCAACTCTCGTTTTCATTTCTCTCGCTCTTCCTACTCAGTTGTTAGAAAGCGTGCCACAGTACTACATAATGCACACAGGGTAAAAAACCCAAACAAACATCCTCTCAATAGCAGCAAACACGCTTGGTTACAGAATCATTTCAAAGTGGTTATACTTATCTCTGTCCCCTGTCTTGTATCTGATCAACTGTGGAGACAGTCAAACATCAAAAAGAAACACTGCTTCTTGGCATTAGGAAGGGATCAGATTCTCGGCAAAATGTAGGATGGGATGCAAGGCTACCACTAAAGAAGAATCTGCTTCCTAGAAGGCAGAGCTGTTCTCAGTATCAGAAGCTGCCAAGAAAAGTCTACTGGTTTTGGTCCAAGGCCTGGAGCTTTGAAGGAAAGCTGCTTCAAAGAATGGCACAATATATACTGAAAGATAAGACTAGGAAGCTGAGGCAGATACTGTTCTCAATTTAAAGAAAATAAGGCCCACTTGGTTTAAATTAACGCTATGGGCAATCCAATCTTTAATTGCAGAGCCATGTCAGAGTTAAAGGTTTTACTTAGAGACGGAAAGATCTGGGCTATAAGCTAGGCTCTGCTACTTGCATGCTGTGGGGAGAGCCTTGTCTGTTAGACTTGACTCCATGTGTAAAGTGAGAATCATGAGAGCTACCTCATGGGGTATCCTAAGATAATGTACGTCAAGCATTTAGCACAGGGCCTGGCATATAATAAACTGGCAGGAAATCATGCACATTGTTCTCATTTTCATTCTATCACTTATTAGATTTAAGAGAATTTATACTATCTTAAAATTTTTAATGGGATGACTTACACTTTTTAATAAGCCTTAAGAATCCAAAATTTCAACAGATGTAATTTGTACTTTGAAACAGATAATAAAGATTTAAGTGCTCGTGAGCAACACAAAGAAGGCTAAGGCATGGTTCCTATCCTCAAAGAACTTAATCTATTTGAGAAAACACGATACAGCTATGCAAAGCTATCTGAAAACTGAGGGGCACATGAGTGGCTCAAGGGTCCAACTTCGGCTCAGGTCATGATCTCATGGTTTGTGACTTCAAGCCCCATGTCAGGCTTTGTGCTGACAGTCCAGAGCCTGAAGCCTGCTGCAAATTTGCATCTCCCTCTCTTTGCCCCTCCCTGGCTCACACTCTGACTCTGTCTCTGTCTCTCTCTCAAAAATAATAAACATTAAAAAAAATTTTTTTTAAAACAATGACTAAGGGAGTGACAGGTGACCAACTATATAAATAGAAAGAAATCAGGGTGGCAGAAACAGACCAGGTCTGGTGGAAGTGGAAAGGTACCAGAACGGAAGAGGCTGCATAGGGTTGGAGAAACTCAGGAGAGGGGAACATTCTTGGTGTAAGAATCAGCATGAAAATAGCATAGCATTGGGCACAGGGGAAGGTGGTGAGGGAAGACATGTGACTACATTAACAGGAAAACATACTGGACTCCAGAAAGGATAAGGAGTCCATTATGGAGGAGCTGGGAAGATAGCAGCAGTTGGGGTGGGGGTGGGGGGGATGTACACAGTGTGGTGAAGGACAGAGGACCACTGTGCGTTCTTATGATGAAGAAATGTTAACAGTATTTTATAAATATCAGTCTGAACAGGGAGTAGATTGGCACTCACCACATTAATTGCCTTTCAGAACATATGCACAACTGTGACAGCCTTAGAGACACTACAACAATTGGATGAAAGTAAAAAATGACATGAAGCCCTAACTCTGCCAGCTTCACAAAGCTCCAAAAATCTATGAGTAAGAAGCAGACTGCATCCAGACTGAGTAAAATCTGAAGTAAAATATCCACTGGAGATTAATATTTTCTCCCTCACTCTGAAGGCTTCTCTTCTCATTCCATAGGTGGTATAATGTATCTGATAAGCAAAGAGATGAGGAAAGACTGATTTCTGGAGGGCTAGAAGCAGTGTTTATTAAGTGCTCATAAACACTGACAGTGAAAGGAAGGAGATCTGAAAAAGTCAGTAGGGACAAGCTAAACTGTATTAACAAAGAGAAGTCTTGCTATGCTTATCAATTTAAAGTACTGGAAAAAATGTGGAGAGAGGGAATGAATTCAACAAGAGTTCTAAGATGCTGACGGGAATAAGAACTAGGGTAGTAGTGTGTTTTCAGCTTCTGTAATAAAAATTTTCAAACATACCCAAAAACAGAAAGAGAACAGTATAATGACCTCTCATGTGCCCATTACCTAGGTTCCAAAATGACCAACATTTTACTAATTGAAAAAAAATCTTTGTTTTTGCCTATTGACTTTTTCAGCAGAGGAGAAAAATATGGAACTGTATTCCACATGAGATGGTTTTGTTTCACTGCATTTCATTTGTGGATAGATATGTATGTGTATAGTGGAGATGGTATGCAAAATGTACTTTTTATTCAGAGGTGTTTCAAAAAGTGTTAAAGCCAGTCATCTTGAGCAGTTTTCAGACTTTAGTGGGGCTTTAGGTTGGGCATTTCTACTCCCAGTTGCTGTTAATTCTAGACTTTTGGTTTGGGTGTCAGGAATCTAGAGAGAACTGGTCCCAACACAAGTTTTCATATTTCTCTGGGATCCTGATGAAAAGTACATTTAAGAGTAGACTAGGAATGGGGCGCCTGGGTGGCTTAGTTGGTCCGACTTTCGCTTAGGTCATGATCTCGCGGTTCGTGGGTTCGAGCCCCGCATCAGGCTCTGTGCTGACTGCCAGCTCAGAGCCTGGAGCCTGTTTCAGTCTGTGACTCCCTCTCTCTCTGACCCTCCCCTGCTCACGCTGTGTGTCTCTCTCTCTCCTAGAAATAAATTAAAAAAAAACAAAAACAAAAAACAAACAAAAAAAAGAGTAGACTAGGAAATCAAGAATAAATTATGCCAATTTCTTCTCAGACATAAGGTAACTGAAGGAGACCAAACCTATAAAGACAGAAAAAACCTGAATGATACATCAATGAAAGAACAAAATAGATTGAATTACCTTTGGTGCCAGGAAGATGATAGGCAATAACCACCTTCTTATGCTGAAATTCTTTTAATTTCACAACATTATCTGTAAGTAGATATCTTTTAGCTACGAATAAGAGAAAAAAGCAAAATCATTTTTATTCTTTTATAGTTAGTGAAGAACAAGTTGATAGTCTCTGGGCCACCTGGGAGGCTCAGTCAGTTAAGCGTTTAACTTCGGCTCAGGTCATGATCTCATGGTTTGTGTGTTTGAGCCCCGCATTGGGCTCTGTGCTGGTATCTCTGAGCCTAGAGCCTGCTTTGGATTCTGTCTCCCTTTCTCTCTGTCCTTCCCCTGCTCCAGCTCTGTCTCTTTCCCTCTCTCAAAAATAAACAAACGTTTAAAAAAAAAAAAAGTTGATTGTCTCTTTCTAATAACTGATCTTCACTTAATATAAATAATCCATCTGGACAGCTACAAATATGTCACGATAGAGAGGAAAAAAAACCCATCTCTAAACTATGAGAGAATGCAAATTCTTACCAAATTTTATTTGTGTGTGTGAAAGGAGCTAGTGGTTAACTGTATGGAAGTGGGTTGAGAGGAATCTGGGATGTGAAAGAAAAATAGATATTCCCCATCTGGTTACAGGATAAGAAGAGAAACAAAAAAACAAAAAACAAAAACTAAAGGTTACCATTTAAATGTCAAACTGTTATATCTAGTTTTGGTTTATCCAGGAAGAAGCATATAGTATAGGTGAAAAAGCTACAGTGTGACCACTGGAATTCCCAGCACTGCAATTTTTGAAAATGAGGAGTTCTAACTTCTCAGATTTGGACTGTCGGTATCAAAGTACATCAGAAATCACTGACTGCAGCTTAGCAGAACAGTAAGTTTGGGGAACATTATTTGTTTAGGATGTCTGGCTGTGTATGCAGTGGACCATCGTCAGAGAAACATCCACTAAAAGACCTCTCTGTACTGCAATAACAGCTTAACAATAATAAGTGTTGTTTTGGGGCACCTAGATGGCTCAGTCAGATGAGCGTCCAACTCTGGCTCAGGTCATGATCTCACAGTTTGTGAGTTCAAGCTTCACATCGGAATCACCATTGTCAGTATGGAGCCTGCTTCCATCCTCTGTCCCCCTCTCTGCCCTTTCCCCGCTTGTGTGCTCTCTCTTTCAAAAATAAACATTGGGGCGCCTGGGTGGCTTAGTCGGTTAAGCGTCCGACTTTCGCTTAGGTCATGATATCGCGGTTCGTGGGTTCGAGGCCCGCGTCAGGCTCTGTGCTGACTGCCAGCTCAGAGTCTGGTGCCTGTTTCAGTCTGTGACTCCCTCTCTCTCTGACCTTCCTCTGCTCACGCTGTGTCTCTCTCTCTCTCCTAGAAATAAATAAAAATATTTTAAAAAATAAACAAAAATAAACATTAAAAAATGTCTATTTATGAGAAGGCAGTCCAGAGAAGTGGTTACAGTAGGTATATACTGTTGGGCTGCCTGAGGGCAAATCCTTCCTTTACCAGATTCCTCTAACCTTGGGCTAATTACTTGGCCGTGCTGTTTCTATCTTTGTAAACAGAGAAAAGAATGGTACCTCTCTCATCGGGTGGTTTCAAGAGAAAAGGAATATACTTAAAATGTAGAGTAACTGGTGACACTAATGTTAAATATTTTATTATCACTCACCAGCATAATCAAATTTTATCATTTCCATAAAGCTATTAATGGACAATTTTACAAATGAAGAACCCAGCTCAAGGTCTTTCAGAGCGTAAGCCCTCAAGTTGGGACACGAAACTCAGTCTAAGACCTCGACTCCCAAACTTTGTAGAACAGTACACCCAAGGGGGAGGGGGATTTCCAGACCTCAGCGACGCTCCATCTGAGAGGCTACAATAGCCCCCAGGTTAAGACTCCAGTCCGGCCGTCCTCTGGTTCCCCAGACGACACCCAGGGGCCAGTGCTGCAATGCTCGCTGCCAAAGGGCACGAGAGCATAGGCTGCTCCAGGCCAGTGAGCGACTGAGGCGCTTTTAGTTCCCCCCAAGCGATGCCTCCTAAGGTGTCAATCTCCCTTCTGTCCCATTTCTCCCCTCCTTCACGACCAGGGGCCGCGGATACCTCCGAGAGGACAGCGGCAGCATCTGGAGCCTGAGCCTCCTACCCCGGAATATGCGGAACTCTGCAAGGTAAACAGTAGAACATGCTTCGGAAGCCGAACGGTGGCAGCCATGCTGTCCTGGGCCGCAACAACTATGGGTGCCGGGGAAGGGGGCGGAGCATCAGCCTGTGACCCCACCCCTTCCTCTCGCGCAACCCCTGGACGTTCATCTTCTTGGTATACTCCAAGATGGCAGCCCCCATAGTGCGGTGCTGGTTTCCTCTGGCGCGGAGAGTGTCTCTGCCTCCATTCTCCCTGGCAGGTTTGTCGCCGCGTTGATTTTGTGGGGCTACTTCATTAGGGACCTGAGAGCTCTTCCTTTTTTTTTTTAATATTTTTATTTCTAGGAGAGAGAGAGACAGCGTGAGCAGGGGAGGGTCAGAGAGAGAGGGAGTCACAGACTGAAACAGGCTCCAGGCTCCGAGCTGGCAGTCAGCACAGAGCCCGACGCGGGGCTCGAACCCACAAACCGCGAGATCATGACCTAAGCGAAAGTCGGAAGCTTAACCGACTAAGCCACCCAGGCGCCCCCTGAGAGCTCTTCCTTAAGTGAAAGGAGCCGTGGGTTTTCAACAGGACAGGAAAGGCTGCTGGGTTCTGGTTGCCATAGAAACCGTTTGCAGTGTTGGGTAGCACGAAGTGGGAGGTAAGGTCCTGACCCGTATCCTTCCCCAGAATAGTGCCTGCAAGCCCAAAAGTGTGAAGAGTAGAGGAAGTCATGGCATGAGGGCTTTTGTCTGATTTGCTGGGTTTGTGTTAGGGTGGTCTTCTCTTCACTGACCATGTAGAGCCCAAAGGTGCCCATCCCAGAGCTAGAAGTTTTCTTTCCTACCCGCTTAAGTGTCCTTGGAGGGGCGTCGAAAACCTCACGCTTGGTCAGACCTCCCGCCTCCACTTGGGATAAGCATTTCAGTACTCATTTCGCATTACTTAATAACCTGGGGCACAACTTTTGAGTGACCTTTCTATGCCACAGTTTTCCACGTGTAGATACAGTAGGTACTTCTGAAGTACCTTGGACCTTTGAACAGCTCGGGGATTAGGGGTATGGTACCAGGCAGTTGAAAATTTGTGTTTAAGTTTTGACTCCTCCAAAGGCCTTACCCATCACATACAGTTTATTAACACTTTTTTATGTTTTATATAATCATATACTGTATTCTTACAGTATGATTAAGTAAAATGCAATAATCATAGTTGATGTTTCCAACATACCTTCTCTGGCTCCTATTAAGAACCAACACCTACTCTGTTGTTCACACTTGTTTAGCAACAGCTATTAACTATGGGCATGAAACCTCATTGTTAGCCACCAGGTTTTCTGATAATTAATTGGTTGACCTAACAGGTGAAAATGTTTAGTGCCACATGTTAAGTATGTACAGTACCTGGCATGTCATTAAAAATTAGCTGTTGTACCTATTTGGTAGCCTGTTTAATTATGGTGGTTACTAAATGCTTTTCAATTTAAACAAGACTTTGAATTGCTTATCAGGGAGACCGTCATGGTTCCATAGAGTTTGGCACAGTCATTCTAAAAAGGGAATGGAAATTAGGTAAGGGTGACTTCAGAGAATTTTCAGTTAGCATTTTGTTCTTAAACTGGTGAACATGTAATTTACACCTATGTACTTCCATTGTGGTAGCTACTAGCTACATGTGGCTATTGGAATTAGTTAAAACTAAGTAAGAAATTCAGTTTTAGTCACAGTAACCACATCTTAAAAATGTTTAGTAGGGACATATGCTTAGTGGCTACAGTTGTATAGCTCAGAATTGAACTATTTCCCTCATTATAGAAAGTTCAATTGAATAAGCACTAGGTTAGACCATAGAAGAAAGGAGTCTTGAAATCCGTAACTGGAAACTATAAGGCAAGTAATAGAATCATGTAGGAACATCCGGAAAGACATACCATGTGATTTCATTCCTGTGTCCAATTTAAGAAACAAAACAGATCAGCATAGGTGAAGGAAAAAAAAAAAAGGAAAGCAGACTGTAAGAGTTTTTTTTTAATTTATTTCTGAGAAAGAGAGTGAGAGCGAGCCAGAGCAGGGGAGAGCCAGAGACAGGGAGATACAGAATTTGAAGCAGGCTCCAGGATCCAAGCTAGCAGTCAGCACAGAGCCTGACGCGGGGCCCGAATCCATGAACCATGAGATCATGACCTGAGCTGAAATTGGACACCCAACCGACTCAGCCACCCGGGCATCCCAAGAGATTCTTAACTAGAGAGAACAAACTGGGTTGATGGAGGGAAGTGAGTGGGGGATGAGCCAAGTGGGTGATGGGTATCACAGAGGGCACTTGTGATGAGCACTGGTGTTTTAAGTGATCACTAAATTCTACACCTGAAACTAATTTTACCATATATGTTAACTAAGAATTTAAATTAAATTTGAAATAAAAAGGTATGTAAGGTATCATTCAGAATTTCAAAATGCTGATAAGGAGCTTGACTTTTAAGTCATCAAAATATCTTGAGCTGTTACAGGGTAAGAGAGGAAAAATATACTTGGTACAAATTAGGAAAGTGATTTAAATACCTGAAGAGGGGAGTGTCTGAGTGGCTCAGTCAGTTTATCATCTGAATCTTGGTTTCTGCTTGGAGTCATGATACCACGAACCGTGACATCAAGCCACGCATCAGGCTCTGCTGACTGTGCAGAGTCTGCTTGGGATTCTCTCCCCCTCTCTCTCGGTCCATCTCTCCCTGCCCCCACATAAATAATCTTTAAAAAAAAAAAAAAAAGGTATTTTAAAAATAAATAATACATGAAGAGGGTAGAGAAAGGAAATGTACTGGGTGAACATGAAACACATAATGTGCCCTCATTTAAACTGATACAAGGTAGGCCCTATCTTTCGTATCATGAAAGGGTGTCAGACTGTGCAGCTTGCCCACATTTCATACCATTTCTTAGCAAGCCAAGGATTCCAACTTACCATTTTGTGACTCTAAAAGGCTATCTGTATCGACAATCAAACTGCTTTTCTTTGGATGGAAAACATATTTGGAGACACTGGTCTAAAGGCCAAAGTAACTGTAAAATGAGTAAGAATATAGATAGAGCCAGTCACTTCTCACTCAGTGTTGAGATTCTGGTCCTGGCTGGAGGATAATTAAGTTCAAGAAAGGTTTGTAAATAACTGCTGGGTAGCATATTATACAGAGTGGGATTAATCAGGCTCAGACACCCAAACCTGTAAGGTTCTTACTATTTTTAAAAGGCTTAGAGAAACATTCTTAAAAGACTGTTTTAAGGTGCAGTAATTTCTTATTGGGGTTTTAACAAATTACCACAAATGAAGTGGTATAAAACAATACAACTATTACAGTTCTGTCAGTCACATGTCTGACAGAGGGTCTTGCCATGCTAAAATCAAGGTGTTGAAAGGGACAGGTTCCAGGTTGCCTGGGTGGCTTAGTCGGTTAAGCGTCCGACTTTCGCTTAGGTCATGATCTCGCGGTTCGTGGGTTCAAGCCCCGCGTCGGGCTCTGTGCTGACTGCCAGCTCAGAGCCTGGAGCCTGTGTCAGAGTCTGTATCTCCCTCTCTCTCTGACCCTCCCTTGCTCATGCTGTCTCTCTCTCTCTCTCCTAGAAATAAATAAAAATATTAAAAAAAAAAAAGAAAGAAAGGGACAGATTCCTTTCAGGATTCTCTAGGGGATTGTCTGTGTCCAGGTCTTTTCCCTCTTCTGGAAACCACTTGAATTCCTTGGCTGATGCTCCCCTTTTTCCAATGCATTTAACGTGAATAAGAGCAAGTTAAGTTTTCTATCACTCCATCGTTCACACATCTAGGTATTTGTGTCTCTCTTCCCCCTTTTAAAGACCACGTGATTACATTGGGCCCACCTGGATAACCCAGTACAGTCGCCTCACTTTACGATCAGCTGATTTGCTGATCTTAATTCTATCTGTAACCTTAATCCCCCTTAGCTATTACCCTAACATATTCACAGGATCTGGAGATTAAGACATAGACATTTTTTGGAGGGACATTTTTCTGCCTACCAAATTGGGCCACACATTTCTAGGTTTATCATTTATTTCTATTGGTCTAGGAATGTTTTCCATTTGCTGAATTTAAACTCTTCATCCTTATACCCTTATCCTTTTGTTCTACACTAAAATGGAGGTGGAAAGTGATTACTGGTTACATTCTTGAAAAGCAAACATTAAATAGTTCATATATATATAAAGGTTGCTGGGCTTACCATTTGTAGATTTATGGTCCTCATTTGTTTTGTTTTCAGTTCACGTGATGCCCATGAACAACTACACACAAAGGGCATTCTTGAGCTATCTTTCCCCACTATGACCTCCCCTGCTTTTTGTCTTATCTCCCAATTCAAAATTCTTGATTGACCTAGATGATTGCTTTTCTGACTCCAGAATCAGGAGGGGTGATTTCTTATGCTAGAATGAAGCATATTCTAGAGAAAGAAATATAGATAAGAAATTATAATACATGGAGAATAAGTCACTGGTATCCTGAAGTATATAGCTTAACAGACCTATCCTTAGCTCTTGCTCACATAGAGAAGGGCTGTTCCTGTTTCTGACAGAAAGGAGAGACCTTCCTGGTTTAAAAAAATTTAGTATTTATTTTTGAGAGAAAGCGAGCGAGAGTGGGGGAGGGGCAGAGAGGTAGACACAGTATCTGAAGCAGGTGCCAGGCTCTACACTGACAGCACAGAGTATGATGCGGGGCTCAAAACCAAGAACCATGAGATCATGACCTGAGCCAAAGTTAGATGCTTAACCCACTAAGCCACTCAGGCACCCAGGATCTTCCTGGTTTTAACATTGGAATTCAGTTTGCATAAAAATGCCACTATAAATTTATGATTGGGTTATCTAAATTCTTTTCATTCTACGTAAGAACACGCAGGAAGCTTCTTAACTGTCATTGAGTTCAGTTCCTTCATTTGCAACTGCCGGATCTCTCATTTTCTACCAGCTGGTAAAATTCAGACCAAATCTCTGGTCTCACCCCTGACTTGGTGTACAGCTACACAGCTAATGCCATTGAATTTTATTCATCCTTCTTCGCAGATCTAGGAATGTA